GGTGGGGGGGGAATCTTGAGGGAGAATAGGGGCCTCTTGAACGATTGGAGGGGACTCTTGAGGGATGACCGGTGAGTCGGGCTTCTTCTTGCGGAGTCTTCGCACCATTGGGGTGAACGGAGACGTAATAGCACGTCCACGCCGTCTGATGCGTGAACTCCATCGTGCAAGGAAAACCCGACGTAAAGCATCCACCTTATCGGGCCGCTAAAAAAAATTAATACATAAATCAGTAATAAACAGACATGATATTAAACAAAGACAAATATGTTTCAAACTAGCATTGTATTCACCCAAATCATTATTCTATCATAGTTCACAAAATACTCAGATAACATTCCAGAAGTAAGCACTTATATAAACATTTAAAAGGACAACATATATAAACATTCCAGAAGAAGAATAGTTTACTTTCGCAACACGAAACTTAAAATCGCAACGTGAAATGACTATCGCAACGCGGAAATGGCTATCGCAATGCGAAATGAAAATCGCAACGACAAAATCGCAACGCGAAATGAAATCGCAACGCAAACGCAAAAATCGCATTGCGATTTTCATTTCGCGTTGCGATTTTGTCGTTGCGATTTCATTTCGCATTGCGATTTTGTCGTTGCGATTTTCATTTCGCATTGCGATAGCCATTTCCGCGTTGCGATAGTCATTTTCGTGTTGCGAAAGTAAACTATTCTTCTTCTGCAAATTGAAACTTGAATGGATTGCATTACTTCAACCAAAAGACAAAAACAAATACTAACAAAAACAGTTTAGCAGTATTGGCAGCAACCGAATGAATTACGAGTATGAAAAATCTTAAACTTACCTCGTTGCGTAGAGTATGAACCTCATTCTGCAACGATGCTACCATCTCATGTAGAGCGGCTACCTCACCGCGTAATGTAGACACCTCAACATGCCATGCACCATCGTCTTTGCGTAAAGTACCGACCTCCTCACGCAAGGCATTGACCTCATCACGTAACTCCCCTAACTCATCCCGTTGAGGTGGAGGTGGAGAACAGGGAGATAAACGTCGTGGCATCTTTGCCGGTCGCCTATCTTGCGGTGATGGTGGAGAAGAGGCTCGATGATGTGACAGAATATATGATGGCTGTCGTTGTGGAGGTGTATAGCCGGGTCGATCAGATGATGGCTCTGGGTGAGGTGATAGCTCTGGGAGAGGTGATGGCTCCCGAAGTGGAGGCTGCTCATCAACCGTTCCATCAAAAAAACGCTTACTAGCTTGCCACCAATCAGTGGCAAGCTCAGCTTCCGTGGGTGTCAGCCTCTGTAGAGGAGTGTTGGCCTCCTAACAATATAAAAGCTCAAACAAAGTTAAACGTGTACTAGTAATAACTTGTTTATAAACATATGGTAGTATTTATGTTAACTTACATTATTTATTGTCGTATACCGTAGTAAATCTTCCCATTGCAAGGTCCGTTTCCTCTTCCAGGAAATAGCCCTAGGAATATCATTTGAAGTTTTTATTGCATATGTCTTCATGGCGGGAAAGGCCTCAAATATCCAAATCTACAAACAATATAATAACAAACATTGGTAATTGTTAAATAATTACTTATAATTTTGGAAACATCATATAAAAATTCTTACCTTAAAGGCCCAAATAAAGCCTGTCAAAGTGTATTTGGAACCATCGCCATGCAAACTTTTTCGATCATCCAAGGCAGACGATAACTTATTCCATGTAGCTTTCCATAAATACGAGCCCCACGGAAACAGGTTCCACGCATTTAGGTCTTCTACCAATTTAATTAGATCATTTGGAATAGGTTGTCTGGCCTCTCTGCCTAAAAAGCTGGCATGCAAAAGAATTAGAAGGCATACTCGTACAACGTCGACGTCATCCATCAGAGTAAAACCATCTTTATTATTCAAAAATCTTGTCAGGTCTTCTACGTGTAGACTCGGCCTCTCCAGCTCAGGAAAAACCCGGGATAGCCATGATGGGTGGGTAATGTGTCTAGTGTACCGACCTACATCATCGTGTCCGAAGCGTAGACCGGTGATTAAGCAAAACTCCTCCCGCCCAAAACACGTATACGCCGGTGGAAAATCAAACCATATCTCTTCATCACGACGTTGTATAGTCTCTGATAGATCGCTAGTCATGGTTTGAAGAAACAGGTGTGTCAACATCGCATCTCCACCGGGATGTTGTACTTTCAGCCATGGCCCGAAGCATGTATCCTCAAACATTTTTCTTTGTGCAGGTGAAAGCTTCGACGCAATTGTTTTGGCCAGGCTGACTTTATTTCTCAAGGTCAATTGAGCCGAATAAAAGTTCTACAAAAACAATAAACATACTAAATTAGATATACCAAAAACTACACTGTGAAGATATACAAAAATAATAATAACATAAATAGTAGTAGTTTATTCTTCAAACTTAAATATGCAACACTGTGAATTTCGTATTTGTCTTTATTTTTTGGTTGAAGTAATGCAATTCATTCAAGTTTCAATTTGCAGAAGAAGAATAGTTTCTGAAAATGAAAATCGCAACACGAAAATGAAAATCGCAACGCGAATTCGACTATCGCAACGAGAGAATCGCAACGCGAAACTAAAATCGCGTTGCGATTTGCATTTCGCGTTGCGATTCTCGGTTGATTTAATAAGCAATCTAAGTGAAATGGTTAATCTATTATTGAAATTACCAGTAAACTTATCATCAATTTCAATATGAAAAACCTAATAATAATGCAAAAATTTCAAAAAGAAAATAATTAAAAAAACTAACCCTCGTTGGTTGATTTGGTTGATTTTCCATTTCTGATTGTGATGGTGGCTCTGAGAGATGGAGATAGACGGATTTCGCCGGAGATGAGGACGGATTTCGTCGGAGACGGGTGAGAGAGTGAGAGATGGAGATGGGACTGAGTTGTGATTTTAGGTTTTAGGTTATGAGTTGCGATTATGGGATATACTGTGGACAGTTCAGTGTTCCAATATATTAATATTCGTGTTTGGAATTTAAAAATAAAATACTTGGCCAGGATACTAATGGCGCTTTGAAAATCGCATTGCGATTATGTATTATCGCGTTACGAAAGTCAGAATCGCGTTGCGAAAGTCAGTATCGCGTTGCGAAAGTAAGTATCTCGTTGCGATTTTTTATTATCGCATTGCGATAATCAGTATCGCATTGCGATTTTCACAATTCGCGTTGCGATTTACTTATTCGCATTGCGATTTTCTCAATTCGCGTTGCGATTTACTTATTCGCATTGCGAATTGGGAAAATCGCAACGATACTGTAGATCATCGCAACGCGATTTTCAACTATCGCATTGCGAAAATGCAACGCGAATTTGCGATAATGGAGATCGCGTTGCGAATTAGCGATCGCATTGCGATTTTGTTGGTCATTTTGGCAAATTCGGAAAAAGTTGGTTAAAATCGTATATTATATGGGATTTTTGGTCACTGAGGTTATTTTCTCTTTTTTAAAAGTATAATTTTTGACGCAAAATTATCTGAAGATTTTATGTTCGTTGAAGATGATGATGTAGAGTGCATCTCGAAAGTAGTTTAATATTTTACATTCGAATCTATTTTTTTAATTAAATTAAAATAATTATAAAATAATATTTATTTTAAAGATTTTTAATTATTTGACAATAGAAGCTCATATAATTTTTAGTTTTTAGTACTCGAATCAATAATCTTTAGAGATAACAAACATCCATTTAACCACTGATATAGCTTGGTTCGTGTAGCTTATTCTTTTAAACTAACCAGATAAATTAATATCATTCCTCATATAATTGAACAAACTTTGTAATATCCTATTTTTTTTCTTTATTCTATTCTTTTGGAGCAAGTATTTCACGTTCTCTCAATTTCGTGAGTGAAACGTACCGTATTAATTGTTTATCAACAACAGAAACGTGCCGTACTAATTGAACAAATCATAATAGCCCTCTCGGATTGCATAGTTTCGAATAATTGAGTTCGTTCATTATGGATCATGCTTATTTTTTGGGGGATAAACTACTTATTCGATCATCTATTTATTACTTAGTTTATGTTTTGATCATTCAACTATTATTTTTTTCAAAATCATATTTAACGTTACGTTTTGATTTTGTTTTGGTCATCTGTTACCCGTAATTAAAAAATTAACGGTAATGTTGACGTGTCACCAGAAAATAATGTCACGTCATCATTAAAAATAAAAATGTCACGTCAGCATAACCACTAATTTTTTACGGTGAGTGACTAAAACAAAACTAAAATATTCCGTTAGATATGATTTTAAAAAATAATAATAATTGGGTGACCGAAATAGAAACTAAGTAATAGATGTGTGACTAAATAGAATGTCACGTCATCATTAAAAATAAGTTTCATTTATATTCGTTAAGGGATGACTCTCTCAACTCAATTTCTATTCATTTACGTCATAATTTGAATTTGCTTAAGAGATTTAGTATCTCATTCTATTAGAATAACTGAATATATATATATAGGAATAAGATTTAATTGCGCAATGTAAAACTTTTTTAGTTTAACAGATTTATGACTAATACATAAGTGAAAATAGATAAATTGATATTACCAGTAGAAAATGAGAAGATACTATTAAAAAAGAAACAAATATTTAATTTCACTCGTTTATTTTCACTAATCTAACAATTCTAAATCCGTAAAAAATTAAAAAATAATAATTTATATTATGTAAGTGAATCTCAAACCCCATTTATATATATATATATGGAAAAAGTGAAAGCACAAAAGACGAACGTTACAGTCCATATTTCAATCCGTGATTGGGATAGGCAAAGTGGGCAAATTCCACACTTCAGAAGCTGTAACTAGCATACATGGAAAGCACGCAAATTGTTAAGCCAGATTTTGTCACTACATGCGCCTCTACATTTCTTTCGTCACCCATTCAATCATCCTCGTCTCCTTTAATGAACTCAAACCAATATATATTAAGTTGCGCAGTTCTCAAACATAACCAAAACTCAAACCCAGAAACTCAAACATGGTGGTGAAGAGCGTCAAAGAGAAATCCGGTTCCTTTTTCCTCTCTCTGCTCAAAAGGAACGACGACCCAGGGAGATGTTTTGACGACGACTACGACCAAGGGAGATGCTTTGTCGGTCTCAGTTTCGGACCAGAAGAAGCCCGGAGGATGGAAAGCTATGCCTTTCATCTTAGGTTCGATTTTTAGCTCTACTTTTTATCAGATTATGGATTTGTATTCAGTTGTGGTGTAGTAAATTAACATGGGAAAGCGTGTGGCGGTTGTTGCAGGGAACGAAACGTTCGAGAGATTCGCAACGATTGGGTTGCTGTCGAATTTCATGGTGTATTTGATGAAAGAATTCAACATGGACCAGGTTTCGGCCTCCAATGTGCTCAACATCTGGTCCGGTGTCACCAATTTCGCACCGCTCGTCGGCGCTTTCATCTCCGATGCCTACGTTGGAAGGTTTTTAACCATAGCCGTCTCCTCCGTCGCTTCATTTCTGGTATGAATGACCAAAACCGCTGCTTTTTCTTTTTCTTACAAAACCAAATTACGGACACGTATCTGATGCAAAGGCTAATCGTGGTTCGTGGGGCTACATCTTGTGCCATGCATGTAATGTTTTTGTTGGAAACATAACCCAGAATTGAATGATATTAATTCAACATCAAAGTTCATAAATAAAGTATGTGACAGGCATAAAATATACTATATGAATTTAGAAAATTAAATGGATTATACATAATAATATTATTGTTTTAATACCGACACTGCATGTTCACACAATTTAATGCTATAAGTTGAAGTTGTTCTAATACTTACGCACATGGATGTACTAAGAGAGGAGTGGATATTTTCGGCTCTCTAAAATTTTATACGTTCTCTCTTACTTAAAATTTTATAAGTTTACATTTCTTAACATAAAATCCTACATCAGTTCGTGTTAAGACACATGTTTCCGTATGCAAAGTTGGTCGAATAATTAATATTCATGCCTGCCTTCACATTATTTTTATTGAAAATAATAATAAAGGGAAAAATAATTACGTACTACTAATTTTATCTTGTCTGCTGCCGTGAGCAAATAATTAAAACTTTAAAGTGTTTTCCATAATTGAAAAAGCTATCATTTATAGATTCCACCTACTCCATTTCTTCTATTTACAAATCTATAATGACTAGATAATATTTTTTTAATATTAAATTCTCGTAAATAATTTTCGTGATTTGAATTTTAATATTATAGATGAAATAACGAAATAAATTTATGTTATATTTTTACATTGACAGGGAATGCTGACCATAACTTTGACGGCATGGATCCCGGACCTCCAGCCGCCAAAATGTCAACCAGAGTTGCAATTACACGGCCACTGCATTGGTCCAAGCAAGGCTCAAATAGGAGTACTGATAATAGGGTTAGGCCTGTTATCAATCGGCACCGGTGGTATAAGACCCTGTAGCATTCCGTTCGGGATTGATCAATTCGATCCCACCACCGAGGAAGGATCGAAAGGGATAAGCAGTTTCTTCAATTGGTATTACACCACATTCACACTGGTCATATTGCTCACACTAACCGTTGTGGTTTATATTCAAGACCAAGTGAGTTGGGTCCTCGGCCTCGGAATCCCTACCATCCTAATGGCGTCTTCAATCGTTTTGTTTCTCATCGGAACGAGAATTTACGTGCATGTGAAGCCCCATGGAAGCATATTCTCGAGCATAGCACAAGTGTTCGTCGCTGCTCACAAGAAACGACATCTTAAGCTTCCCGAAGTGGGAATGGATTGTGGTGCTTACTATGATCCTCCTTTAAAGGATTACGTGTTGTCCAAGCTACCCCTTACTTACCAGTTCAGGTTTGTCGAGTAGATAGTATGTTTCATTGGATAAGTGAATTTAGTGCACTAAACATTTGTTAGTTTGTTGATGTTCGGATTAGGTTCTTGAACAAAGCTGCGATAATGATGGAGAATGATATACAACCCGATGGTTCGTTTAACCGATGGAGGTTGTGCAGCGTTCAAGATGTTGAAGAGGTGAAATGCATTATAAGAATCATCCCTGTATGGGCTTCTGGTATCATTAGTTTCACCGCCATGGGACAACAGGGGACATTCACCTTATCACAAGCTTTGAAAATGGACAGGCATCTTGGCCCCAAGTTTCAAATCCCAGCTGGTTCCATGGGGGTCATATCGATGATCACAATTGGGATTTTCCTCCCGGTCTACGACCGAATCATCGTTCCGGCTCTCCGTAAAATCACCAAACGAGAAGGCGGAATAACGCTGCTACAAAGAATCGGAATCGGCATCTTTTTCTCTATTCTAGCCATGATCGCCGCCGGAATGTTCGAACAAAAGAGAAGGAACTCAGCCACATTGCACCCCGGTGCCCCACCGATCTCGGTCTTTTGGCTATCTCCTCAGCTTGTTCTCATGGGCTTCTGTGAGGCATTCAACATTCTCGGGCAGATCGAGTTCTTCAACAAGCAGTTCCCCGAGCACATGAGAAGCATAGCTAATTCTCTTCTCTTTTGCTCCCTCGGTGGTTCGAGCTACTTGAGTAGCCTAGTAGTTAATATCGTTCATCATGTCACTGGAAGTCATTGCCGCCCGGACTGGCTGACGAACGATATTAACACCGGCAGATTGGATTACTTCTACTATCTTTTAGCAGTGATGGGCGCTTTCAATTTCGTTTATTTCCTCTATGTTGCACATCGGTATAGGTACAAGGTCCAGCTACAGATAGAGTGGAAATCATCTGAACCCGATGTTGAGCTAAGTTCGATGAAACATGAAACCGAATAGGCTGATGTAACGTTTATGTATACGATAGGTACCTAAATATATATTAAAGTTAAATAAATGATATTTTGTAGTGTATTTTTAATATTATAAACTACGCGGAAAAGAAAAAAATCAATATACATGAATTTTGTTTAGGAGAAAATAGTTCAGTCCTTGATTTATATATTAACTACGTGTTAAGTCTAAAATCATTATTGCTATGTATACGTCAACATGATGTATAAGTATAGCCGTCATTTAACAAATTTCTCCAGTTTATTAAGACTCTTATCAAGTCTCTTGTCGATCATTCTCTGAGATCGTTCATCACTGATAGATAGTTGGAAAGAATATATCCGGAGATATAACATATATATTAGACCGTATTTGTAGGTGACATGAATTTGTGGGAGTGGAGGCGGATGGGTGGCATTGTGTTTGTACTTTGGCAGCGCGCATGCATGGTTTGATGGCTGCCAAGAGATGCATGAGTAGGGGTATTTTTGGAATCTTGTGTTTGGATTTTTGGTAATACGCATGCATGAAAGATTCAAAATAGGTATGATGCCATGTGCAAAGAGTTAGAGAATAAATTGTATATATATATATATATATGGTTGACAGAAGTAACTAGATTTATTAAAAAGATAAAAGAATTCATAATTACAATGAATATTTACAACTGTAAACGTAAATTAAATACAAAGTTATTATATTTTCCTATAAACATTGATACAAAAACTAGTCACTTAAGATCACACAATGATAATATAAGAAAAATGTTAATAATCTAATTAAAAGATTCAAACAAAAAATAAATACGAACTAATCTGACTGTATCAACAAACAAACCACAAAAAGATATCAAGTTATTAAAAGATGATCGATAAAATCACAAACCAAAATCGAACGATGTAAAAAGTACTATCCACGAATTCAACGATCGAGAACGTACCAAAAAAAGGTTTATTGACATAAACCAAGCCATAAGTGGCTAATAATGCAATCAACAAAATGTTAAGTCCACAAATTGACAGCCACTTGAAATTCAGTGCAATTTCTGAGGCTGTGAATAGCAAGCAAAGTTAAAAAGTAGACCGTGTCCATATAAATATAAAGCAATGTGAAAACTTATTTTGCATTTAGACCTTCTGTCATAGCTATTCCTATGATTTTCACTCTGTTGTCTGTATATACTTTATCGTGCTATACTTTGAACAGTTACCTAGACATAAAAAATTCCATTTTGCTACATAAAAATATATAATTATATTATAAGAAAATTTAAACCAGGTATTATATAAAATAAAAATATTATTTTAAACACCATCAAACTTTATTCGCTGACTCAATAATAGAGTCAGAATTTAATTCTAATAGAAGTCGAATCTTTTTAAAAGTTTTAAGCTTTATACATAATTTTAGTTTCATTATTTGTTTATTTATTTCAAAAAATATATAAATGATAATATCAAAAATACATACTAATTATATCATCTCTATGAAATAATAAATAGAAAATTATAAATAAAACTCAAGTAAATAACAAAAAATATGATTTTAAAAGAAACCAAATACATAACTATCATATAGTTATAATCATATATGTTTGCGCGTTTCAGTATCTCACTCCAAGTAATTAAAGTTGGTACTTTATTTTTAATTTTTAACTATTTTTGATGTTCCATCTTTCGGATGCGAAACATCAATAGATGTATGAGTTGAAGTTTCAATTATTGCATTTTTTAAAGTTTCACCACTTTTCGTCTTAAAAAGCTAAATAATTATTTGATTTTTCCATAGAAATCAACATTCAACTTAACAATAATTGTTTACCTTAAAACCTTACCCCTAACTTAAAACATTAAATTGATAACCCTAAACTCTATATCATAATTTTATAACCTCTAAACCCTAAACCCTAAACCTTAATATTTGACTTAAAACTTTCAATTTAGGGTTTTAAGTGAGGGCAGGATATAAAATGATGCAATTGAACAACTTCGAGGGCTAAATTGATGCTTAAATACGATAGAGGTAAAAATGATAAATTATGTCTACTATGGGGATAAAAATGATCCTTTTTTCCTTAAAAATTAGATTTATGATTTTATTTTCTTAATTCAACTTGATAATTATTATGTTAACTAAAGTAATACTAAAATTAAATATAAGATCAAATAATTCCAATCAAAAATAATAATAAATATAATATCACTTAAATGTTTACCTTTAAAAATTGACACTTTTGGATCACTTAAATAAATATTTGACAATCATAATAGAAGAGACTTAATTTTATTGTGAAGCTGATGATTCTATCGCAATATTTTATCCTGGAAAAATGAAGACTTTACAGCTTATTATCTTTTGAGAAATATAAAATCTCTGTAATTTTTTTTACGGTTCCTCTATTTGTATAAAAGTGAAATTTATAATAAGGGTCGAGGCTTCTTTGGGCCCAACGGCCTTCTTTCCTTGCCTGACTCGTTTATGTTATAGAATTTTTAATTTTTTAAATATAACATTAAAATTTAATTTTATATTTAATTATATCACTCTATCATTAAATCTTAACAAGATGATAACAAAATTAATTATTATTAACGTAACTCCCAAGTCAGAATGACGCGATTTTGATAATGCAATTTCTTAAATCTTTCTACCCGAACAACCTTTAATGACACAACAAACGGCCGTGGTTGTGGTTGCATAGGTAAGTTGGTCAAAATTAGGGGTGTTCATTCGGTTAATTTGGTGGTCGAATCGATCGAACTACCATTTTCGAATTAACCGAATCTTTTTCGAAAATATTAACCGAACCGAATAAATTTCGGTTAATTCAGTTAATTTTCGAATTAACCGAATGTTTTTAGAATTTTAGAATTTAATATTTTTTTAATTAAAAAAATAATTTACAATTAATTTAAATAATATCTAATTATAAATAATATCTAATTAATTTGATTCAAACATTTTACATTTAGTTTTGATATTATTTTAATTAATTAATATTGATTTGGGTTTTAAATAGATTGAGCCTCTTAATATAATTATATTTAAAGGTTAATTCGGTTAATTCGATTAATTAACCGATTTCGAACCGAATTAACCGTTAATCGAATTCAAAAAAAATCCTTAACCGTTTCCTGATCCAATTAATTCGGTGACCAACCGAATTAATCGAACTAATTCGATTCGATCGGTTAATTCGATTAAAACTGAATTTTGAACACCCATAGTCAAAATGTCTCTTTCGGCCTTCAAATCAAATCTCTAATTGTTTGATCGCGTGAAGTCTTCTCCGGCTTTTCTGCTACTTTGAATGCCACTAAAAGTAGTAGAATTCAACTTAAATGTGACTAGCTGCTTTGCGTTTTAGAAAAGTTAATATATATATAATTGAAATCGAGGGTAGAAGTACGAATTTCATTGATTTCAGTGATAAAAAAAATGTTGTTATTCTTTAAAGTTTTGAGTTATTAGATGGATTTGAATTATGGGTTGTAATTGGGCTGTCAAGTGATATAATTGGGATGGTTTAGTTTTTGTCTATTAATGGATAGTTGGATTTGGATCATGGATTGTAATTGGATTCTATTGTAACTTATAATTTGGATTTTTGTTTTGAGGTTTTAATGCATTGGGCCCAAATATTTTATAGAAGGTTTTTTTAATAATCTATAGTTAGTATAAGGTAATATCTGTTCAGAATTTTTCTTATTCATTGACAATGCACACGTATTTTGTAGATGTAACTACTCGAATTCAAAACCTTTAAGAAGAACGGTACTTCCCTTAATCATTAATGTCACTTGATGTGTTCATATATAAGATTTATTTTTCAATACCAACAACGATAATAAAGGTTTTCAACAACAAGATTTCAATGTTACTTAATTTGATATTAAGTCAAATAATTAAACTAGAGTTTCAACGCCTTAAATTCAAGATAAAGACCTGGAAATCAACAAGAGTTAGTTCAAGTGGTAAGCAGTTTGATATCACTTAAACAAAGGCTTTAGGTCGAGTCTTTGTGTATGCAGAAAATCTATGCTGGGAAACTCACATACCAAAGCAAGACGTGCAACGTAGGTCGATCTGGATTAACCAAAATGAAACATTGGATGTTGGGCCGAATTGAACTCTAATCCAGGTTTACCATTGTATCCTTATTTGAAGAATTATAATATGAGTAAACTACGCATTTAGTCGCTTCTTTATTTTGACGATTCTATTTTAGTTATACAATCAGTTTTTAAGATTACACTTAGTGTTATATTTCGGTCGTCCAATGTTTAAAAATAAATAAATTACTAACGTGATAATATTTTTAATTTTTCCTATGATTACGTTATATTATCTTATAGTGACATGTCAGCATTACCGTTAATTTTTTAACTATGAGTGATCAAAACATAACTAAAATATAACGTTAAGTATGATTTTGAAAAATAATAGTTTGGTGACCAAAACGAAAATGTGCCCTTAAATATGGAGTGATATACATATAGAATAGACTAGGTATAACACCAAAAAATTCTATTACGTTTAATTAAATAGTCATTTTGGAGCATTATGACATTCGATATTTCATTTTGAATAAAAAAGCCTCCAATGTTAGATTAAATAAACACTTTAACCCTTGTTCTTTTAGAATATTTTAGTCTCAACGTTTCATTTTAGATAAAAAGTTCATATTTTGAAGTATAGATCGTTTATTAATTAATAGTTTCCTTTAAAAAAGAGAATTTTTTGCCTCAAAATAAAATATTAAGCTAAAAAATCTCGATAAAAATTAGGAGTAAAATTGATTATTTACTCAAACGTTATACATATTTTTTTGTTATTATGCCAATAAATAAAAGGGTAAAATATACAAATGGTTCATCGACTATAGGATACTGCTTTGTTGAGTCTCCGACTATTAAAAAGTTACAAAATGATCCTTCGACTATAGGACGTTGCTTTGTTGAGTCCTTCGACTATTAAAAGTTACAAAATGGTCACTCAACTATTCATTATGTTCCAAACTTTTCCTTTTCCGTCAGAAAATTTAAGATAGACTGATCAAAACGTTAACATGGTGACTGAGATATGATAATTGTTTGAGACTATGAGATTAGATTTTATTATATCTCATTCAGCAGGTTAACGTTCAACTCAGACTGTCGTCAAATTTGTAATGGAAAAGGATGAGTTTGGAACATAATGATTAGTTGAGTGACCATTTTGTAACTTTTAATAGTCGAAGGACTCAACAAAACAACACCTTATAGTTGGGAGACTATTTTGTAATTTTTAATAGTAGAGAGACTCAATAAAATAATATCCTATAGTCGGGTTGCCATTTATGTACTTTATCCTAAATAAAAATAAGGCTTAATACCCAAATAAGTACCCAAACTATACTCTTTTTTCTCGAATAGGTGCCTATAATATTTTTTGGCCTATTTAGGTGCCTAACGTTACAAACGTTACTACTTTAAGTGCTCGGGTCATCAACGACGTTAATTTTCTTCGTTAAGTGACACATGTCACAATATAATAATTTTTAAAAATTTTATATAAAATTAAAAAAAATAAAATTATATATATTTTTATAAAGAAAACACATACATTTTGAAATAACCCCAAATCTTTAAAAACTTTAATTCAACCCCTAAACCAATCCGACCACCACCCTTTGCCATCGACGAAGCTCCACCCAACTTCTCCTCCCCCGGTGACCAAAACACCTATAAAATCGTGACCGATCGACGACGAATCGACATTTTATACCCCACGAACCATAGGATGAAAATCGCGATCCCACGTGATTCCGACGGCCAATCAGTGACAACTACGGTGGTGTATAACTAGGATGATGACAGGGACTACGTCAGTGACAGTGGTCATAGTTGAAAAGGGTGACGACGATGGGTTTATGTTAGGGTTTGGAGATTTTAGGGATTTTAAGATTTTTTTGTAATTTAAAAGAAATTAGGATATTTTTTATAAATATAATAATGTTTTTAATATCTTTTTTAAAAATAAATTTTAAAATTATCTGATTGTGACACATGTCACTTAATGGAGAAAACCAACGGCCATTATGTCATAGATTACGTTTATAATGTTAGGCACCTGAATGAGCCAAAAAATATTGTAGGCACCAATTTGGGTAAAATGGATATAGTTTGGGCACTTATTTGGGAATTAAGCCTAAAAGTAAAAATCCTTTCTACTTGCTCCCTTCCTTTCCAAGAGTACCCCATCCCGCCGCTCCATCACACCACCACTGCCTCCCCTGTGGTGATCTTTCTAAACTCCAATCATCCACCACCACCAACAATCCTTCAATGGCGTCAGCCGCGGAAGAAAATGTTTCCTCCGACGCAGCAGGCTCAGTTTCGGAGGGCCCCGTCCTTAGTTTCATCAACAAACGTCTCCGCGCCCTACGCAAGAAATACAATCGCATCCTCCAGATGGAAGAATCCCTCTCCCATGGCAAACCTTTGAACAAAGAACAAGAAGAAGTCCTCCGTTCCAAACCCGCTGTCTCCGCCCTCATCGATGAACTCGAGAAGCTTCGCCAGCCTCTTTCTGTCGCCGTCTCCGAAGAAATCTCACTCGCCTTACAGCGTCAAACATGTTCGCTGGAAGAGACAACCTCAGAAGCTCAACTGGATAAGACCGAAACCCAAGAACAACAATCCAATGAACACGATCATGCCATTGAGGATCTACTCAATCTTCTCTATTTCGGGTTGTTGTTCGATGTCAAGTCTCAGAATGATTTTATCTCGACCATGTTGACGAGAACCCACGAGAGAGGCTGTTGCTTGACTTACGATTACGTGACCGACGACGCCACCGATTTGCTTAGTGAGAAAGATTTGGATTTGATTGCTAAGCTGAGTGGAAAGCTGACTTCAAGACCTGCTGATTCAAGTTTGTCTCATAAGAATGCTTTGCATCATTGCGTCAACCATGCTAAACTTTGGCTTTCTAACTCCGACCAGCCGATCGACCACAATGCCGACGTTTCATGTAATAATCCACTAATAATTTCGTAGCTTGTATTTATTTACTTATTGCCGAATTTCTGGATTTTCTGAATTGGGAGTTTATTTTCTGCAGATGCTGAGTTGAGACAGAGGCTTAACAAGATCAAGTCTTTGGATTATTTTACAACCACGCCGGAGATTAAGGATCCTGTTGAAGTGGCTGCTGCTGCCGCCGGGGCGTTTACGTCTTTCCAGGTTCCGGTGCCCATCTCCGTGCCTGTTCAGGTGGAAGATTCAGCCGGGCAGTACCAGCCAAAGGTATTAATTTTTGCATTTTGTTTCTGATATATGTTTTGGTGTAAAAACTGTCTTCCCTTTTTATCCTATACATTTAGCATTATCGAATTTATTGTTAATTTTTTTTACTTGATGCAAATACATTGATATCATCGTTTTCAGCTATATAACAGCCAAGAGAGGGTTGGGGGGGGGAGAAACCCAGGTATTTCTTAAAGTTTCTTTATATATAGGTTATTAGTAACTGAATGTTGGAGAAGTGAAGTTTAAATTATACCAGCAACCTGCTTAATTATTTGTTTATTTTTTATATTGTGCCGTTAAGGGTAGCTGCAATGGCATTAGAGGGTTTAAGTTTATTCATATGTGTGTCATAGAGTAATAGCATTCCTCCGCTCTTGGATTTTTTAATCGTCTATCTATTGTCATAGCTATTTGTTATTTTTTTCTATCAATTTTATTTCTCCCTGTATCTGTAGCCTGCATTAGAGTTAGACTGCGAATCTATCTATCTATTTTCCTGTATGCACAAAAGTTTTTTTAAACATGAGTTCTTTAAATTTGAATTTATGCACAAAAGGTTGAAATGACTATATAATAGACTTAGCCGGTATGTCTAGCAAGAAATCTTGTACCTGTGTGTCATAGCAAATACAAGTTATTGAAACAGTGAGTGTCCGTGTTCCCATGCTTCAGATAGAAATTCCTTTCCCGTGTGCTGGAGCAGATAAAAGTATTTAAAACAGTGAATAGTTTTGTTTGCTGAACATCATTATGTGTTGGTTAATATCATTGTTATTTGGTGTTGTTTGAACTATAGATCATTTATGATTTCCAACTGGAGGAAATGTTAATCATTTGCATTGGTTGCTAAAACTTTCATACATCAACATTATTGAGCTCTCAAGTGTTTTTTTTCTTATGAATAAGATGCACACGCAAATTCTTCTAGCTGTTATGACAAATCTACCTCATTTACTGTCCTCCCATTTTCTTGGAAGGAAGGAGATTCTTTAAGCAAGGTTTTTCTTCTGTTAATGATGAAAGTGTAAAACAGCTAAATAGGAACTCATTGGAGACTGAGTTACAGAGGAAAGTATTGGGTTGGTGTGGCATGATTTCTAAAAGATTGTTTCAGAATGGATGCATTATTTGAAATTCTTGTAAGTTGTGCACTTGTTGGTCATGTACTGTGGGGAGCTCAGCTATATCAACTGTAACTCCTGATCAAAGGTCTGATGTAATGGGCAGTTGGTGCAAGCAAGCATATGCTTTTAAGAAGAGTTTCCATTTACGGAGATGACCCAAGGTTTGATTAATATCTGGACAGAACATGCTGGATTTTGAGTTATTTATGCAGACATAATTGCTAAAATTCTCATCAGATAGTTTATTATTTGAAAGAAGTTGCATGCATATTCCTAGAGTTAAGGTATTCTACTTACTAATTTCAAAATAGACTGATAACCAGTCCTAAAATGTTTGGGTAAAAGCTTATACTCCAAGGCTAAGATGATAAGAAGGGTTTTTTCCTGGTGGATTATTCAATACTGATTTGATCTCTGGACTTTGGCTAAATGTGAGTGGCTTTGAGGATCGTTTTAATCTTGTTAGTTTTGTGTGGACCGCTTCTGTGTCTTATTTCAGTTGACAGGGGTTGCCCCAACTCCCTTTTGTACTTTATTGTTTTACATGTAGTGTTGAATTTGAAAATTGATTGTCAATCTCTAGCATAAAGCTTTTTGGATCAATTGGCCTATTTTGCTCCAGGAATGGGATTCTTATTCATGTTACTTGCAATTTATTCAGTCCTTGCTGCTGTTGATTATTGGAATGGATGGCATGTTTGGTGGAATGCATTCTTTTGATTTTCCTTTTACTTGAAATACATTTCATTTTTGTTACGACTTGTTGCTTAGTGATCATCCTGTCCCTTAGAATTGTTTTGCGATTGGCATGTTGTGCTTTGGTAGCTCCTGGTAAAATTGATGCTTTGCAGGCTCATTCTATATTAGGTGAATTTGGAAAAGGACAAACTTATTCTACATTCTTTTTTCTTTTCCTTCCAGAAGTATGCAAATTTGGCTTCTATAGCGGCAAAATCTGCAGTTTAGTAGGTAAAAAAAGATGGCCTTTGGCGAGGCAGTGTCTTTTAGCCGAAATAATTGATGTCATGGTTTCACTTCAGTATTACAAGGCAATGAATAATGAGTTGGGTTGTGTAGGATGATTTCATACCTTCGCTTAAAGGTTTACTATTGGAATCCAACTGAAACAAGATGGTCCAAGGCATTCAAGTTATCGAGAATTGTAAAATTGAAATAAGCAGAGAATTGTCCCAAGAAGCTGTGAGAAATTAGAAATGTAGTGTAACTGAGAATTGTCAAGCTATGTTTGATGATCTTTATGTGGTATTTCATGATTATTCCGATTCCCATGCATTGATGCTTACAGATTATTATATTGTTGGGAAGTAGGCATACTTCATAGGTATTAGGTATTAATTGCATGACAGGAAAGTGATGATACTTAGTTTTACTCTTTCTTTACCCAACTTAGGACTTGATGTTATTTAGGCTTGCTTCATTTTTTTGGGGTAAGTGTTGTCGTGTGTCCTGGCGTTAACACAGATTTTTAAATTTCAATTGGAGCTGTCACCCTGTTAGTTTTATTATCCGATTGGTGTTAAGTTTTCCGGGTTATTTCTTATGTTCTGTAGGAAGATGAGGCATCAAATTATCAAGAATCTGAAACCGGTGACAATCAATATAGTAGTACAGAGGAACTTCATCAGGTTCTTTCAGTTGGCTTTAACACTATTTGTTCCTTCAGGATTTTATATATTAGAGTTTAAATATTGTAGGCTTGTGCTCTGCAGGATAATTTGGAGAAGGAGAATCATGCAGAGGATATCACAGTTCAACAAGAACATGACAAACTACAGGCAGATAATGGAGAAGCCAAGGAGCAACAATATGTTCCTGGAAGACCTTATCAGAACCAAAGAGGTGGTCGAGGTACTGGGGGTGGCCGTGGAGGTCGAATCAGTGGAAGGGGAGGTGTAACCTACCAGAATGGGCACAACCAATATCATGATCAACCTGACAACTCTTATTCTAGGAACCAACATAACAACAGGGGCAGAGGTGGTAGAGGACGTGGCCATGCTTACAACAATCAGGGCTCAGATGTTCAGGGTGGTAATCCCTCAGCTGATGTCGGCGTTGCCTCGTGAAAACTGCATCCATCGGGTCCATTTTTCTGGGTCGGTGATAGAAATGTACTTTTGTGCATCGTTTTGCATGAAACATGGTTTGAATGTGGGTTGACGTCGATATCGTAGTATCTAGAGCACCCCATTTAACTTCTTTTATGTAGTTCAGTTACAATAATATTATGGGAAGAATCGCCATGGGGATGATGAAATGCCCACTCTCCTGTAGATTGGTCAATACAGGGGTCTTTTGGCACCAAATGCTTATTATGCTCCTCCCCTGCAGATGTATCAAAACTGAAAAATGAAGAATGGATAGGATAATCTTTACTCGAAATGATCTTAAACGTGAAAATAGCAAACTTGAGGTAAAATAAACAAGTCGATTATATGTACAAAATTAAAATTTTAAATAACTTATATTAAATCTCTAAATATTGGGATCTGTAATGAATTTTAATTTATTTTTCTGAATTAAAAACATCTTAATTTAATAAATTTCTCCCAAAGTTATGTCGTTTTAATTTGTTTCCTAATAAAATTACTTATTTAGTTATAAATTTTGGGTGAATTATGTATTTAGTCACTCATTTGTTCTTGTAGTTTTGTTTTGGTCATTCGATGTTTTTTTCTTCAAAATCATACTTGGCGTTATGTATTGATCATCTACCATTAAAATAAATAGAACTATTGATGTGATAATATTTTTAAAAAAATTATTGATGACATGATATCATTATGATAGCACATCAATATCATCGTTAATTTTTTAACATTAAATAATCAAAACTTAACTTAGATATGATTTTGAAGAAAAAATAATTAAACTACTAAACAGAATGACGAAAATAGATTGATGATTAAACATGTAGTTTACCCTAATTTTTTTAAGCGGCCAATACCAAAAAAAAATTATATTTTAAAACCAAAATATCAATATTCAGCCATCTCATTGTCAATTTAGAATCAGTCATCCTTTAGGAAAGCCACTCAGCTCTTGAGCTGAACTCCCTATCCTTACAGCAAACGGATGACGCTTGCAACCGCGCCAAGGCCGCCGCCGCAACTTCTTCCATCTAGAACCACAAACATCCCAAACGCTCCTTCACCCGACCACCACAGCCGCATCCTCATCTCTTTGAAACAATGCACCCACATGTCTCAGCTCAAACAAATTCACGCCCAGACCCTCCGTTCCACTTCACCTTACCATCCCCAAACCTTCCTTTTATACTCTCAGATCCTCCATTTCTCTTCTTTCCTTGACTTCAACTACGCTCTTAAACTTTTCCAACAAATCGAAAATCCCAATTCCTTCATGTGGAACACTCTCATAAGAGCCTGTGCCCATAACGTTAACAACAAAGAACAATCCTTACGGCTTTATTTGGAGATGCTAGAGCAAGCTGTGGTTCTTCCAGATAAGCATACTTTCCCATTTGTTTTGAAAGGTTGCGCTTACTTGTCTGCTTTCTCCGAAGGGAAACAGGTTCATGCCCATGCTTTGAAACATGGGTTCGGTTCCGATGTTTATGTAAACAACAGTTTGATTCATTTCTATGCAAGTTGTGGGTGTTTGGACTTGGCTGAAAAAGTGTTTGTTAAAATGTCTGAAAGAAGCTTGGTTTCCTGGAATGTTTTGCTTGAAGGTCTTGTCCAGTTTGGTAAGTTTAATAGCGCTTTAAACTTGTTCGGGGAATTGCGCAAGACGTTCGATCCTGATGGGTATACGCTGCAAAGTGTAATAAGTGCTTGTGCTGGTCTTGGGGCTTGTCTTTGGGTGCATGGGTTCATGCTTATTTGTTGAAAATGTGTGATTTCGACATGTCTATTAATGTGCTGATAAACAATTCATTGGTGGATATGTATTGCAAATGTGGTTCTTTGGAATTAGCTCGGCAGGTTTTCGAGGGGATGCCGAAACGTGATTTAACTTCGTGGAATCATATGATCCGAGGATTCGCAATGCACGGTAAAGCTGAGGAAGCAATTAGATGTTTTCATAAATGATTCGAACGGAGAGTTTCAGACCAAATTCTATCACGTTCGTTGGTGTTCTGAGTGCTTGTAATCATAAAGGTATGGTTATAGAAGGTCGTTTATATTTTGATATGATGGTTACTGATTACAAGATCAACCCTGCATTAGAGCATTATGGATGTTTGGTTGATCTTCTGGCCCGTGCAGGGTTCATCGATGAAGCTCTTGACCTTGTATCAACGATGCCTATGAGACCAGATGCCGTCATCTGGAGAAGTCTTCTCGATGCTTGTTCTAAGAAGAATGGAAACATTGAGCTTAGTGAAGAGTTGGCCAAGCAAGTTGTTGAATCAGGAGGCATCGGAAGTGGTGTTTATGTGCTGTTATCAAGAGTTTATGCATCGGCCGGTCAGTGGGATGATGTTGGACTCATAAGGAAATTAATGACCGATAAAGGTGTAATGAAAGAGCCTGGTTGCAGCTCAATCGAGATCGACGGTGTTACACACGAACTTTTCGCGGGAGATACGTCTCATCCTCAAACTAAAGAAATATACCAAATGCTAGAGGTGATCGATGAAAAACTTGAATCGGTTGGATATTCACCTGACTATTCACAAGCACCGATGATCGACGAACATTATGAAACTAGACACCATTCCCTTAGGCTGCACAGTGAAAGACTGGCCATTGCTTTGGGGCTTTTGAAGCTGCAACCAGGTATGCCACTACGCATCTTTAAAAACCTTAGGGTATGCAATGACTGTCATGAGGTGACGAAACAGATATCCAGAGTTTTCGATGTCGAGATTATCGTACGGGATCGTGCCCGATTTCATCACTTCAAAGACGGCGTTTGCTCATGCTCGGATTACTGGTGATAATTGTTTCAAGTGTATAGCTTACATAATGTACATGACAATGATTTGTGTGACCTTATTAACACTGCATCTGCATGACAATGATACGTCTCACCTTATTAACACTGCATGTAGAACAAAAAGAGGGTTTATTCATGATTTAACCCTTGACTATATCAGATTTTTCACCTTGGTACTTGAATAGCATGCATCAACTTGCAACAACGATAAGATGCATTGCCATGAGCGAATAGAAAAACCAGAGCAGCTGAAAGAGAAATCATTCATTTTTATTGATTGATCGATTAATTTAAATTAAATATTAGAAAAAAAATAAGATTTTTTAATTTAATTTATATCACTCATAATATTAAAATTTGATCACTAAATTTATATTTCAAAACATTAAATTATTAATTAGTATTCCGATTGGTGATAATGGAATACTCCACCACCACCAAGGAATGGCGTCCAGCCTTACGTGTCCGTACTCTGACGTTGATAAATTTTCTTTGGTTAAATTACACATTTAGTCATCTAATAATTTCTATGGTTTTATTTTGGTCATCTATATATTTTTTAAAATTATATCTAAAGTTATGTTTTGATCACATGCCGTTAAAAATAAATAGAACTGTTGATATGATATATATATTTTTTATTTTTTTCAATATTAATGTGGTATTGTCTTATGATGACATGTCAGCATCATTACTAATTTTTTAATAGTAGATGATAAAAAAAAAATTTAAGTATGATTTTGAAAATAATATTTGGATGACCAAAACAGAATCATTAGAATAATTGGATGACTAAATTGATAGTTTATTCTTTAAATAATATAATCATATAAAATATAAAGCTTTGAATACGTCACCAACTTTCTGACATAGAATAGGCTGCTTGTAAAGGCAATTGAATGAGCCAGCCAACTGCTTATCTTGATCATTTAGCTACTCCACTATTTTCGAATCTGTCCTAATTGAAAGCTTTCTTCTTTTAAAAATGTAAATATGTAGTAAGATAAGATTGTTTCCATAAATGTTTATTGATACATTATCATATATTTTAGGTATAAGAGTGACTTTTTGCTCATATTATGACTCAATTTATCATTTTCGTTTTTATTATATTTTTATATTAATTTAATCATCAAAATTATTCAATTTATTAATATTTAAAATATTTACTATTATTTAGGGTTTAAGGTATATAGTTTAGGGTTTAAAATTTAAGATTTTAAGTTAAAGTTAAGATATAAGATGATGTAATTAAATAACTATGAGGACTAAATTGATACAAAAATACGACAAGAGAAAAAATTATAAATTGAATCTACTACAGGAGTAACAGTGACCATTTTGCCTATATATATATTCTATTAAAAATTTATTTTTTATCTTTAGAAGTTTATAATTCATCTCTTTTTATAAATTTAAAAGTTCATCCTAACATAAAATCCTGTATCAATACCTATTCAACTCTCATAAAGTATTCAAAAATTCAATATCCTTAAAAGAAAGTATTAATTAAGTTTAGATTAAACTACATATTTGGTCATCAAACTATCACTTTAATACTATTATTTTAAAAACTATATTTTTAATTACATTTTAATCCCTTACCATTTAAAAATTAATGATGATATTGGCTTGTCATCATAAAATAATATCATGTCATCTCTGAAAAACTTAAAAATTTGTAACGTTAATAATCATGTTTTTAACGTTAAGTATAATTTTGGAAAAAGATATTGAGTGATCAAAATAGAACTAAAATGAAAGTTAAATAACTAAATATGTAATTCATCCTTAAATTTAATATAATTTTGATAAAATGTTCTTTAAAAAACATGTTTATGAAACTATTAGATTTTAAAGATTTTATTTACATAACATGTTTGTATTTATTGTCAATTAAATAATAAAAATAAATGACATATTTATAATTTTTTTAAAAAGTGTTTCATTATTAAGTTTATAATTAAATGACCCCTTAGAGTAGGAAAGTGAGAGGAGACGGTATTTGTTTGAGAATTACTGAACTAGAATACAAACGCCAATACATTGAAAATTTTAATTATTTAAAAGTTTAGAATTTGATTTTTATTAAGTTAAAGGTAATTAAAAAATAACATATGTTTTAATTATTTGACAATGAATGTTGAAACCATTCTTGCAATAACGCCAATACATTAAAAATTGATTATTTAAAAGCTTAGAATTTATTTTTTTATTAAGTTAAAAGCGATTGTAAAATAAAATATGTTTTAATTATTTGACAATGAATGTTGAAACCCTTCTTGTAATAGGCGTTTTTCCAAAAAAATCAACGGTGACCGGTATATTTACCGATCTAACACCGGTCAAACTATTTTTCCCGATCTAACACCCTTTGCAGTAAGACGCGCCCCCTGCAGCGCGCTATACGCTGATTTGGCGCCACGTGGGGTAAGGCGCGCCTCCTGCTACGCACCTTATGCTGATATGGATACACGTGTGTATGGCACGGGACAGGTTGGTAATTAAGGGTATAGCGCGGCGCAGGGGACGCGCCTTACCTGTGATTCTGACATGCGTCAGAAAGGAGCGGCCCCTGCGGCGCACTATACCCTTAATTACCAAATTACCCCCGCCCATTCACACCCACCATCCCTCCCTATAAATACCCCATTCTCAATCACTTTCATCACACCAAATCCTCTCAACTTCTCTCAAATACTCGTATATTCTCTTATTAAGGTATATTTTATTATATTTAGTATTTTTTAGTAATTTATTTAATTATTTTAATTGTTTAATATTTTATTTTATTAATTTTTTTGCAGATATAAAATGGAAGGCGGTCTACTTTGGTTGGATGGAAATCATATATCTCGACACTTTGCTGATACGGTAACATTTTAACGTTTTAATTTAATTAATTAATTTATTTAATGCATGATTATTAGTTTAAAAATTAATTTATGTAATTATTTATATTTTAGGAGAGAGACCGTATATTAGATCATTTTATTAGGAACCTTAAGTTAGTTATACCTACTCGTGTAATGCCGTATTTAGTAGAGGCTGGATTCGGTCACCTATGTAGATATCAGGGTCATTGTAAGATAGAACCAGACCTTATTTCTGCCTTAGTAGAGCAGTGGAGGCCGGAGACCCACACATTCCATCTTCCGTGCGTAGAGTGCACGATCACGCTTAAGGATGTTTCTATGCATCTGGGGCTTCCGGTGGATGGAGGTGTGATATCAGGGATAGCTTCCGGTTCTTGGACTACTTTGTGTCGGGTTAGTCTAGGACGTGTCCCGGAAAATTTTAACGGTGGACAGATACCGTTAAATTGGTTAGATGCCAATTTTCGGGAGTTGAGCGAGGACGCGTCTGACGATGAAGTTAAACAGTATGCACGGGCATGCATACTGCAGCTGATAGGAGAGTTACTGATGCCAGACAAATCGCGCAACCAAGTTCACTGTATGTGGTAGCAACATCTTGGCGACTTTTATCTGGTCGGATCACTCAGTCGGGGCTCAGCAGTTTTGGCTTGCCTATACAGGGAGATGTGTCGAGCCATTGACTACAGGCGTAATGCTATCGGCGGATGTCTCTTGCTGCTGCAGTCTTGGGCATTGTATCGATTGCCCTTTTTATGTCCCGTTGTCAAGAACTCATTCGTATTTCCGCTACTCCTGAGGTAATTATAAAACTGATTTTGTATATTAATAATTTTATACAGTGAATAAGAAATTATTTTTCTTGAATAGGTGGTCTACTGATAGGAAAAATCATCAGGAGCTACCTGATGATTTAGAAAAAATTAGGGTGTTAATCGATCAGAAGGTTGGCACACAGATATGAATTTTAATGTTTAAAAATTGATTTTAGATTATAGTTATATAATTAGATTATTATTTTGATAAAAATCATATATATTTGTTTTAGTTTGAATGGGTTCTATATTCTACTGATGATGTGAGAGCGGTGATCCCACCTGAGTTGAGGGGCCCATCAGATGTTTGGATGGCGACGGTCCCCTTGATCTGTTATGCGATCGTCGAGTGGCACTCCACTGATTGCGTGCTCCAGAAATTTGGTTGTTTTCAACCAATTCCGGAAGCACCTCGCAATATGGACGAGTCACATAGCACAGATAGACGCATCAAGATAGATACAGATTGGTTGGTGAGGTATCATGCGTGGGTCGTGTTGTGGGAGGATTGACATCGACGCTTTCCCCGTAGAGAGCCCATTTTACTTGACCTCTTGATGGTTGCTGACGGTTATTACGAGTGGTTCAACAGTAACATGAAACCGTTTTTGCTTCCCGAGGATGCACGAGGGCAGACCTTTCCGTGACGTCGACAGAGACATTGACCGACACAGCACCATCGTCCCCCAACTCGTGGACGGAGATCATGTGCTTCATGTTCATCCTCAGTTGCACCAGCATGACCTTCACAGCAGCCACCATATCCAACGACTTATATACCGCAGCCATATATGATGCCGCCATCGCCTTTCCATTACCAGATGCTGCCGCCGCCGCCTTCACCTACTTTTATGACCCCCGCTGCCGCCACCGCCACATATGACCCCTCCTGGAGGCTATTATGGGTCTATGTTTGTAGATCCAATTTGGGGTTCATATACTGGATATTTGGCGAGTTCAGCCTCATCACCCTTGGCCGCAGCACATACACCTCCTGTACAGTTTTTACACTCAGCGATGTCTGGGTTTTACGAGTTTTCCCAGTTTTCGCAGGCCGGTGGGATAGTCAGTCATACACCTCCAGGGTCCTTATTCTATGGAGGTGCTTCATCATCATCAGCTCCTCATCAACCTAATGTACATACTCAGGACGACAACGATGATGATGAAGATGGTGATGACAGCGAGGAGTCACAACCAGTGATACAAAGAAATCTTCCTCGAGACTGACAGCCACCGCCCTGCGGAACACATTCGCGTCGCATGTATCAATAGATTTTGTTTTTTTTATTATATTTGTATTTAGTTTATTGGACTTTTTAATTGTATTTTTTTTTATTTCTCATTTAATACTTACTTTATTTTGTTAAATTTGTTTGACTTTTTT